GGATAAATCTAGCCCTAATTGTCGTCTAGGACTCGATAGGCTCGAAGGTAAGTATACAACCTCCTCTCGACGTTGTCGCAATCTCGCTCGTATACTAGACTGTTTCGACTATCGTCTCGTTGTTACCCTTCCTAGTGTAGCGCCTAGTGTATATACAATGTCGGTCGGCATATTTTAAGGTTTCGTACGGTAAGGTAAGGACTTAGGAGTAGTAGATGTATACTAGTAGCTATAGGGAAACATCCTTTCTTTTATAGCATCGTATCGTTAGGAATAGCTAGGTAGTAAATAGCTAGCTACCTTTTTTTTTGTTTCCTAGCTACCTAACTACTAGATTTTTTTTCCTAGCTACCCTAGCTAGCCTAACTACTAGAATTTCTTTCCTAGCTACCCTAACTACCTGAATTTTGCCTTCTATACGGCGGCTCTCTCCTACTAACGGAACCGAGCTACTATACCTAACGAATCTAAGCTCGTTTTCAGTCTTAATCTATCCTCTTTCGGTATAAGACACTCGATAAGCAAATGCTTAGGCCGAGTCTAACTACGAAACCTAAGACTAACTAATAGCTCTATTAACTAATCCTAATCCTCGAACTCCTTCCGCTTTTTAGTAAAGACCTTAAAGAGCGCTCGAGCTTCTTCGGGTACCTACGGAGTAGTCGAGATAAAGCCGTATCGCTAAAATAGGTAATCCTTCGGAGGCTTATATAGAGATTTAGAGAATTCTAACGCTAACCTATCCTACTAGTAGCTTAGATTCCGGATACAAGCCCTCTCTACCTTAGTAAAGATTTTATATAGTAGTAGCACTCTACCTTCGAGAAACGCTTTCTATTTAACTGTTAGTATCTGCCGGCTACGAACGCCGGCTATATATGCCGAGTATAGAATAATTACCTATACCCCTTCCTCCTATAGTAATACTTCTACCGTCCCTAGATACCTAGCCCCGATCGTATTAATCGCAAGCTACTTTGCCTTTATAGACGCAAAGGCTTCGCTCTAATACTAATAAAGAAACTTCTACTCTATATCGAGGATATAAAGACGACTAGTCTTGATTCCAATCCTTACTAGCTTTTCGTAGTAGCTTTAACTATGATTTTCTAGATTAATAGGACTTATGCCTTAGCCCTTTACTAGTATCTCGTCTCTTTAACTATACTCGATCTACTCCTAGCGCTTATCGTCTATAGCGTTAGGCCCTAAGACTGTACCTGTTACTAGATCGACGTATAGTATCTCCTCGCTTTTTTCAGTTCCTTTATTCGTAGTATTAAGCTCTATCGCGGTATCCTAAACTCTAGCATTGTTGTTCTCGGCTATCTAAACATCTCCGTTACTATCGGTCGTATCGATAGAGGTAGCGGCTATAGGTCTAAATGCTATTAGTTAACGTGTTAAAGAAAAATATGCCGGCTATAGCTACCGGCTACGGCTGCCGGCTATAGCTGCTAGCTACGGCCGCTAGCTAGATTAACTTACGCTGCTAGAACTTTACGCTCGAAAACTAGCCGCAATTCTTTCCTCCTCTTAGCCTTCTCTTAGGTTGTCTTCTTATTCTAACCTTTACTTTTTTCTATAGGCGCTAGCTATCGATAGAATACCTTATTCCGCGCCTTTCTTCTCTTATCCTTAGCTCTTTTATCCTTATCTATCTTGTCCTTTCTCTCGTAGTCTCGTACGGAATTCTTCTTCGTAGAGTACTCCTCTTTAGTCTTACGCTTTTTAGTTAGACGCTTAGGCAAAACAAACTCGCGGTCTTTAGTTCTATCTTCTATTTAGCGCGCGGCGCGCTTCTCTCTTACTATTGTAAGGGAAAGGGGCGGGGGCGTAGCGTATAGTAGTTATTGTCGGTATAGGTATAGAGGAAGAAGTTAAAAGTGTAAGAATGTCGCGAAGCCCTAATTGTTGCCGCCTACGTAACGTTATATAGGTAAGCTTTCGCAACTATAGCAACTACGCCCCGGTAATAGCAACTACGCCCTAGTAACGGCAACTACGCCCTAGCAACGGCAACTACGCCCTAGCAACGGTAATAAAGCGTAGTAAATACAACCTAGTAACTATTATAGCCGGCAATCGTAGCCGGTAGTCGAATAAGAGTATCCTTGTAGCAAAACTACGCCCTAGTAACGGCAACTACGCCCTAGTAATAGCAACTACGCCCTAGCAACGGCAAAAGAGCGTAGTAAATATAACAGAGTTACTATTATAGCCGGCAATCGTAGCCGGCAGTCGAATAAGAGTGTCCTTATAGTAAAACCAATACAGTCTCTAGTTTAAACTAGGAATCTATATAGTTCGAAAAAACTAAACCGGAACTAGGGAGCTAGTTCGCCGCTAAGAAACTAAACTATATACGTTTAGTAGTTCGGAAACCGAACTACTGCGGGGTCTAAGAGGTAGTACTAGTAGATCTATATATCTTAAGGACTATAGTTGTACGTTTATAGAGCTTCGGCGGCTAATTACGACTTGCGGCGATCTATATATCTTAGGGTTCGGAGTAGGCCCTTTTGCGGAGGCCTCCTTTAACTAACTATTAGCCGCTTTATCGTTCCCTCCTATTGTTTACGAAGGGCGTATACTAGTTAGCGTTTTCCGAGCCGCTAGGGTCTTCTTAGGTTTAGTAGAGATAGATAAGTCCCCGCCGTCGACCGTAGATAGCCCTAGAGTAATATCCTTCGCTATCTCGGGGAAGAATAGGTTGTTTTTTACCCTCTCCTTTACCTACTTAATACGCTAGAGTTCTGCCTTACAGTTCTTGCATTCCGATAACTACGCGCTATACGGGCTATAGTAGAGGGTATACTTCTTCTTACCTCCTAGCTAAGAGGCCTCGTAGCTCTTCTCTAAGTATAGCGGCTCCCTTAGGTTCTCTTCTTTAGCTTTCTTACTATACTATCCGTATACGAATAGTTTAAAACAATAGCGTACTACGTAACTATATTGTTTGCAAATTTGGTACTACGTAACCTAGTATTCGTAGTCGTATTTAACGACTCGATAGCTACGTCCTTTCTAGACGAGTTTACCGGCGGCGAGTACTATATTTGTATCTTCTACGGTTCCGAACTTTATAACTAGCGTACCTATTAGCTTCTATCTCTACGGTACTGCGAGCTATCCTATCTAGGTAATGTCTACGCTTCCGAGAATATAGTAGTTATTTGTCCGAAGTAGTTTACGCTCTACGTCGGACCTAATTCCTCTTTCGGATCCCTTTAGTATCTAGTCTAATATTCTAACTGCCTATATTACTATTCTGTATTCCAGCTAGACTACGGTTGCTTTGTCGCCTAAGTATTACTTCTATTCCTTTGCAAGCTTAATTAGGCGTTTAGCGGTCGCTCTATTTACTATAATAAGGATAACATCGCCGCTTTTAAGGAACCTAGCGCTATTAACCTATTTGTGCTTCCTAGGCGCAATTGTTAGTACGCTATTAGTAATCTTTCCCGATTAGGATAGCGTGTTATTAATATACTCGACTATAGCGAGTTCTAGCGTAGCTATATTTCGTAGAGCTACGGCCTCCTAGGGATCTCCTATCTTAACCTTGATTTCGTAGAGCTCCTACTTATTAATCCGTGCTAATCCTGTCCTATTCCGGGCTTGTACTAAGGCCGGGATTATAGTAGAAGGAGGGGATATATAGCGGCGGCAGCGGCGTAGGACTATATTCGGATACTCGTAAAGGCGGGTCCCGCTCTAGTCTTTATCTCGGAGACTATAAGATTCGTCTATTTCGTAGATGCGGCGATATTAGTAATGCAAGTAGCTAGCTCGTCGAACTTCTCCTCCTAAGTATATAATACGTCGATATAAGCGCCGATAGACTTAGAGAGGGCCTTAAATACTACCTAGGGTAGTACTTTCGGGGATTAGCTGTTAATTGTCGCGTATTCCCGCAGAGCTATTAGCTCCTACTAGAGTATAGTAGCGTATACTAATACGTGTTTAGACTGTATACCGACCGAGGGCTATTTACTCGTTTTTAGCGATATCGCGCGCAGTAGCGCAATAGCGCGCGTGCTAAATAACTAAATAGACTACGGCGGATACGATAGACAGTGTTTTGAAAGTGTGTGGGTGACTTCGTACTTAATGTTGTGTTTTCGTCGTAAGGTACGAACCATTGGCCAACTAAGCGAGTAGTCTGTGCACCGAGACAAGCTCCGTACGTCATCCTACATAGCTTACAGTACACTTCACACTTCACCAGCTTACACCATGTCAGCTGAAGCAGAATCTCGATGATACAGCCTAACGACAAAGGCAGAAATGTGAAGAACGTCCAGCGAGGTATGCAGAGAAGAGCGGTGTGAGGTGAAGCTTCTGTTTCACCAGCATGCGGAGGTACATGTACTTCCCGTAATCGAGATGCCTCCATACTCACCAGATGTGCGATCAAAAGAACCCCAGCGAAATCCGCTGGGAGAGACCCTGCTAGAACGCCACAGGACCTTCATCGCAGCAGTCAACAACCGCACTTTCGACAAAGCCCATGCCTCCTCCGAATGGGTAGCCAGCGACTTCACTGCAGAGCTAATGAACTTCCCCTTTCTCTCATCTTGGGGCCAGTACTGCGAAATGTTTCGAGACGTTGTGACGGCTAGTCCGGAGTACTTCATCAATGTTCTAGAGCTTACAGCGCATGTCAGAGAAGACCTTGGCCGGGTGGAAGTATTTTGTCTTGCTGAGGAGATAGGCCAGCCACCTGGAGTCAAGACGCTTGCGACTTCGAAGTTGACTTGGAAGCGTGATCTTCAGAGCGGGAAGTGGTTGTTGTGGAAGCATAGTATGGTGAGAGGGGCTGATTGGGATGGCTTTGGACTGTGATTCATACGATGCTTCGTGGGAGAAGGAATCAAAGCTGATCTGCCGGACGACGAAAGTGCTATATGGCAGAGGCCCCAGTCAGAGGAGGCCACCCTGGGCAGGAACATGCAGACCGACAAATCGGCAATCCATATTGGACCCTGCGACCATGACTACGCAGCTTCTTCGACCTTCTCGACCGTTGTGGCCTTCCCATCTCCCAGCTTGTCGTCTCCTATGAGCTCAAGCAATTCAATTTCTCGGCATTGGTAGTCTTTGAACTTCCTGGCCGGAACCTTTGCCGCAAAGATCTCGTCCAGCTGCTCAAGAGACCTTCCCTTCATCTCTGGCATGAAAAAGAAGAAGAACACAACGCAAGCGAGATTCGAAGCTGCCCAAATATATCCATATTGCGCGCCCAAATTAAGATCCTTCGGGTTGATGAAGTACGGTGAACAGAAGCTGCAGAGCCAGGCAAAGATGTAGCCGATAGAAGTTGCGCTGCCTACAGTGTATGCCCTCAGTCGCGAGCTGACCAGCTCCGTCGCCACAGGGTATGAAGTCGCGCCGACACAGGAGTTATAGCCGAATTGGAAGACTGCCATGAAGCCGACCAGAACGCTCCCGCTGGACTTGGCCATTGGGTTGATGCTCCAGACGATGGCAGGGATCAGTTGCGAAATGCCGCAGATGGTAGCGCCGATCATAAGAATCGATCTTCTCCCGAACCAGTTCTTCATCGCATACATGCCGACATTGACTCCTATGAAGCCGATGCAAGTGTTCATGATTGAGAACTCAAAGCTCTTGGTAATGCCGGAAATGCTGAAGAAGTATGTTTGATACGCAATGATGAACCAGACGCCACTGCCACTTTGGCTTGCGATGATTCCGTAGCAGAGCAAAGTTCTTCTAAGATCAACGCCTGAAGAATAGGCACATCAGCAATAAGTTGTTGATTGGTATAGCCAAAGTGTAGTTCTCACCTTTAAACATATCGAGGAAGCCAATGCTTTTCGCAGTAGCTTGCTCCTCTTCCGTACCTCTGATCATTTCCACCCACTCCAATTCGAAGACTTCCTGTGGTAGCTCATCACTTCTGAGCTTGCCCAGAGCGCGGCGAGCCTCACTCTCTTTCCCTTTGTGCAAAAGCCATCTCGGCGATTCCGGTACGAAGAACAAGCCCGCCGCCAGAAACGCAGGCACGATGTAGAGGCAAGCGATCGGAATCTGGTAAGAGGACTTATCGAACCGCTTGGAGGTGTAATTGGTGACCACGCTTCCGATGATACTTCCAATATTGACCCAGTACGCGAACAGCGCCACCATAACGCCTCGTATATGAGCCGGAGCCACCTCCGAAACGTATACATTCGAGAACGTAACCAGAAACCCGTTCGACAGCCCCATCAACAAGCGTCCAAAGTACAGCACACCAGTGTTTTTCGTCGCTAATTGCACCGCACACGATACAGCACCGAGGATGCAGGCCACCCAGAGCCCTTCTCTTCTGCCGAAATACGAACTGAAAGGACCTGCGGCTAGAGAGGACAGAAAGGATCCTAGGGTGAGGAGTGAAGATATTAGTTGCTGGACGGTGCTGTCAATGCCGTATCCGATGGGATTGCTCTTGTCTGGGTAGCCGAAGACTTTTAGGAAACCTGGCATTGCTTGCAATGAGCCTATGGCTGCCGAGTCGAAGCCGTATTGCATATTCGCTGTCGCGACGATGCAGCAGACTACTATGCATTTTCGACTGGTCCATAGCGATGTGGTGGAAGGTGTGGTGTCCATGTCGCATGTCTCAATGATGATGAATGTGGTGGGAGGGAGTGAGAGCAATATTTACTATTGCGGAAGTTTAATCATTTTCGCGGTTTCGTGCCCAGCTTTGAAGAGATGGCATGTTGAAATAACTGCCGAGCAGGCTCCAAATAGCAGCTCTCGCTGTGCAATAATGTGCTTCTTGACTTTGACTGAAGATTCTCTGGCCGGGTAAATGTCCCCCGGATAATGCGCATTGGTTCTAGCGTAGTGCGGAGTAAGAAGGAGAACCCGGCACTTCTGAAGATCTCTTCTGGTTGCGAGCAGGGTATAATAATCAATTGGAAAGTGTTTTTGCTCGTCTTGCGCTCTCTTCGGAAACCTAGAGACAAGTGAGGTATGAGCGCGAAGAGGAAGCTTCCTTCCGCCACTGGCCCGACTGGGTGCTTCTTGGCCACTCTCCCGCAGAAACTGCCCTGGTGCCACTGGTTAGCTGGTTCAAGACGGTAACATAGCCCACCCTTGCAAGTAAGCCCACCTGATGATCAGGCTCTGCGTAGCATATAAGCCCACCCCAAATAGGGCAACTCGGAAATAAGCCAGGCACTAGCAGTCTGAGTGCTAAGAGGGCCCGAGTCGAGCATTCTGAAGACTAGAGATCTTGAGGACTCGAGGCCTAGAGGATAGCCAAGTACTCGGAAGCTATACATGACTCAGCAAAGTGCCTGGCTATTAGGGAAGGATACTTACCTGGCTCTAATGCTCTATGAGCCTCTACCTCGCTGTCTCCTAGGAATCACTCCCTCCCTACCTAATATGGACAGGTTGGTCAAAACAGCAATGAACCCATGGACACGCCGACCGCCTTGTGCGTCCTCCTATGGCTAGCGCGTCGACGCAAGACGTTAAGCGCGGTGGAGCTGCTACCGGCGGGAGATGGTCCAAATTTGAGTTCCCAGGTCCGGAGTGCTTGGTGCAGATAAGTGAATGGTACGGTAGGCGATCTGCAGTAGTTTCTGTCATTCCAGCGGACAAGTGGGCAGGTAAACGCCACGGATTTTCAATTGGGCTCTGGAAGAGGCAGAGCGCATCGTGCATGCCAAGAGAAACTCCACCTGCTAAACGGGTGCTCCATGCAAGGAGCCGACCACATCTCCCATCATCATCATGCCCACAAATCAGGACCATAATACCAGGCCGAAGAAGCTGCAGCGCATCTCGCAGGCTTGCGATTTGTGTCATAGGAGGAGCATACGCTGTCGTCCCAGCGTTGAAAATCCTCAATCAAAATGCCAGAATTGCTATGATTTCGCTGTGAACTGTACATACAAGCGACCGTCTCGACGACGGAGGAACCCCTCTGCTGGAGGTGCACCACCAAACCTCCTGCCTACGCAGCAACAACATCATGCAGTCTCGGTACGATTAGCGGTGTTTATGGCTGAGCAATGCTAATGCTTCATAGCCGAGTTCTCCAGTCGTCAAGTTGGAAGGTGGACAGAGTCTCAATAATGCTTCATTCCCCGGGAGCTTCGTCCCTCCAGATTACACCGGAGCATACATGACAGTTCGCGAAGGCAAATCCACTGATTTGCTGGGAATTGCCTGGAGGTCGTTTGCCGCTGCCAGTCGACGGACCATTGACCAGTACATGGAGATATACATGGACGTCGTATACCCAATCTTCCCACTATTCCATGGGCCTAAGCTGTGGGACCGTCTCCGAAAACGACAACACTTGACCGATCGAGGATTCTTTGCATCAGTAATGGCAGCATGTGCGCTTGCAGCGGCTCGAGCTCGTGATGGTGTGATTGGTGGTAAGTACCAGTTTGAGGAGACGCTGGAGAATTCGCCAGAGATATTCTTCTCAGCAGCGCAGGACGCGATCTCTAAAGATCTGACCAAATCTACTGGAATCGACTTTCTACGAGCATGTGCCCTGCTCGCCCTCACAAGCATGCAGTATGGCCAGATTGCGTCAATGCACCAGTATTTTGGACACTACACGACGTTGAGCGCGACACAATCATTTCACGACGAAGATAAGTGGCCTTCAAATCTGAGTCAACAAGAGGTGGAAGAGCGAAGACGACTATTTTGGTCCATGTATTGCTTCGATGTTTATCTCTCCGTGGTATTCAATACGATGGTGAAGACTCAGGAAACGCATTCAAATGTGTGCTACCCAAGCGAATCTTCGGACGAGGAAATATCTGCAGGCATGGCGAGCACAAGCGACAGCAACAATTGGCTGAGAGGATGGAACTTCACCACCGATTTATACCGTGTTCTCGAGCATACCATCAAACGCATCCGCGGCAACAGGCAGCGAAGAGAAGATCGCATCTCTATTGTCCGCATGATGATTTCGGATACCATTCCTGATCTACAAATCATGGAAAACGTGATCGATCTCTACTACCAGCTTCCGCCTCGATTCAATGACTTCAAGGCTCCAGTCGTGGGCGATAGGAGCCAGGACATATTCGGCTTTCAAGCTGCGAACATCCAAGCCACGTTGCAGCTCGTCCGCATCACGCTTTTCGAATCGCACAATAGGCACAATGTGCTCCAGAAGTGCGACGTTGCGGAACAGGTACTCACTACTTTCCAAAGCATTGCACCGCACTATCTTCGCGCGATTTCGACGCCGCTGATATATCATCTCGGCGGCATAGGCCAAATCCTAGCTCAGGTCATGCAAGGCGTCCTCACAGAAGACTCGTACCAGCGCGTGAGATCGCTCCTTGGGTCCATGGCGGATCTGCTTGAGGAGCTAGAATCTGGCCTATCGCCGACAGCCGGCGCGAGCACAGGACTTCGATACCAGATCGACCGGATCGACCAGTACATGAATGCGCAGCGAGAGATGCTGGCATCTACTATGCACCACCCTCACTCTCAAGCACATGCTTCGAATGGCATGACAGCGTCTATGATTTGCTCGGGACAAATGCCCAATGGCTCTCAGCTTCCTATAAACTCTCTGGGCATGAGAACGCCGCTTGGCGAGTTCCAGCTACCAGCAGACCTTACAGGGGACTGGCCATGGCCTTTTGAATTTGCATCACAGGACGCGAACGGACAGCTATTGAGCGGCTTTGAGGAGAACAACCATTATTAATGAGACGCAGGGGATCACAGCACCCATCACGCGAGATTTCCGATATTCTCAACAGAGCAAGAATACCAAGTTACAGCCCGGATACGAGAAATGTACGAAAGAGCATTGAGCAGGATAATTCATAACAGTAAGAGATTCGGCGGCGGCAGGCACGCAAGGCATGTACAGTACAAAGATTTAATATATGGTACAGCAGCATGTACAAACCAGAAAATCACACCATCAATCATACCCGGCAATTCCTCGTACAAGATTCATACCAGTCACCACCCAAGTCTTATTCTCGCCTTGACGCTCCCAAATCGTCGAAGAGACCTGTTCCGTACACGTTCCAGCCGGCAACCCACTAACCTTTTTGAACGACCAGACCTTCGCCTTCAAGCCATTCGCATACACCTCGACGACATTCTCAACAACTTCCAGCCGATAATCAGGCATATGCTTCAACATCTCACGATGTTGTGAGAGATGGAATGCAAGGCTCGAATGCGGATAACCTTTCATCGCACTTGATGATGACACATCCGGATTTTCCTCTGCGACTCGAAGTTCTTCTCCAATGTGTTTCCAGATCAGAGGATCTGATAGGCCTTCTTCGCTGCACATTAGGGATGAAAGGGTATCGATTAAGTTTGAGATGTATAGCGCTGTAGCTGTAGCTGAAATTGAGGCTGAAGGCTTTGTGGATTTTGCGGTGTACTCGAAATTTGGGCATAGGATTTCGAGAGATGGGTGGCGGATGCCGAGGGCTTTGGGTGGGAGTGCACACTGGTTGGAAGATGGAATGGAGTATCGGCAGGATCTTCGCTGCATGGTCTTCTAAGTCCTGTCCAGACGCTGATAATGTACCTGAGATGTGTGGTACTTGGAGGTTTGGTTCCAAAGCTCCAGCTGTGCTGCCTGCATGCATGTGCTCGAACAATTGTTCAAAATCCTATGTTTCTGTATTAGCCTCCGGCCGTTTTGTTGTTTGTCAATGGAGACATTCAACAACCTATCCAAGAGAGGCTGAGGTATCTACGTTATGATAAAGATTCGGGTAATCATGCCGCCTTGTATCGAAGGATCGCGTGTGGATGATCAGTCAGCAAACTCTATGAGATGTCTCGGAGAGAGCGGCACCAATGCTCTATTGGACCTGTTCCAACGCATATTGACTCCACAAACTCGCGAGAGGTCTGGATGGATTTGAGGTTGATGCCATAGCAAGCATTACTCGTTGATCAAGATGGAGGGGATTGGAAGCAAGTTGCAAACAACACTTCTGACTGTGACTGACAACACAATCACGGCCCGACTTTCTTCCGCGAGCGCATCTAACACCTATCACGCTGCACTTTAGCTCCCTCCTCTGAGAGCTGATCATCGCGCGCGATCGGTAATAGATCAGGTAGTACATAGTACCTCGATCACGCCCGAGTTAAGTCGCATTCCATCTCTTCCCCATTCCCTCACCTCATCAAAATGCACATCGCCCCAATCCGCAATCCCCAACCCTCCACACCCTCCCAAAACACTCCAATGTCCCTACAAGAAACCTCCCTCCTCCTCAACCTCCCCTCGGAGCTACGGAACCAAATCTACGAAGAACTCCTCATCCTCAAAAACCACGAGAACCAAAGAAACCCCCGGATCCACGCCAACATCCTCCCAACCTGCCACAAGATCCACGCAGAAGCCACCCCGATCCTCTACACCTGCAACACCTTCCTCGCCCACCCAACCCTCCTCGCCGCATTGCCGCGCTTCCTCCTCGACCGCCTAACCCTCACACCTCTACCACTCCCCATAACCCACGCGCGCGTCGCGAAATTGATAAAGCGGTTTTTCCTCCACGTCCGCTTAGACACAGATCCCAGATTTTCGAAAACGCAGGCGACGGAGAGTTTTAGCGGGGTTGAGGAGTTGGAGATAGAAGTTTTCCAGTCGAGTTATGGGACGTGTGATTTTGGGGTTTTGAGGTTGTTTGAAGGGATCAGAGGGGTGGGGAGGGCGAGGGTGCAGGGGAGTGTGGGGGATGGGGGGTATGCGAGGTGGTTGGAAAGGTCTATGATGAGTGGGTGGAAGGAGGAGGTGAGGGGGTTTGAGGAGGAGTTTGTTGGGGGTGGTATGTATGGACCTGACGCAGGTTATGAGTGGACATTGCTGAGTGTGAGCACAGATCGAGCTTGGGATGCGTGGACACATGGAAATAGGTGATGTGATGCTCGTTCGACTATCAGATCAGAACGAATCTGAACTCCTCCGCAAACCCATCTTCTCGTCCAAAAAACTCGGGCCTTCACTCTCCATCTCCGGCTTATGGATACGCACAAGCGACAAGAAATAATCCTCCAAAGGCAGCAAATTCAGCAACAATCGTTCGCTATTCCACGCCACGCCGCAAACGATCGCACCTGCCACGGCATCGAGGATGAAATGGTTCGCTGTCGCAATGATTGCCACGAGGATCAACAGTGGATATGCCAAGCCTAGCGCAACGCATGAAATTCTCCAAGCGCTGGGGAGCTTTGTTCTGAATCGCCAAAATTTGACGAAATGTGTGGTGTCGTTTCGAGAAAGAGGAATTGTAGCGATAGTGAAACCGATGAGCGCCGAGTAGCCGAAGTGAAGGGAAGGCATTGCGGCGTATTGGTTGCAGAACTGGAAAGATAAGATCGCCAGTCAGTAAATGACAAAAAAAAAATGAGATGGAAGTTGTCACACTCACCTTATTCTGCGTCCAAACACTACTTTCCCCTCCGGCGCCATGAACAGTATCAACAAACCCATAAGATTTCGCTTCCGTCGCATCCTCCCCCTCATACTCAGCATCACTCAAAAGCCGCGGCGGCATGCAAGGCCAGACGGTAAAAACGGCAAAAGCCAACAAATTACACATCGCCATCGTGCGTCTCCTCGCCTGATACAACCGCGTGCGCGTCGCCGCCCCAGCCCTCCGGCGCGCCGTAATCGTGAAATAAAACCACCCGATCAAAAACAAAATCGTGCCGGGAATGTGGATGAAACTATACACACGATTGATCCACAGCATCGCGTGCGGGTACTGCAAGAAAAATGTCTGAATCCCAGGTTCCCAGAAAATCCCCAGGGCCTGTTCCATTCGAGCGACTTGGAGGGCGTGGTGACGTGCGGTGTGCACGGTTCCTTGCACGAGGGTGACGGCGGTGAAGGCTCGGGCGAGTTGGTAGATCCAGTAGATGAGGGCCCAGTACCAGACTTCGACGAGGAAGGGGAGTTTTTGCAGTACACGGCTCAGGAGGCGAGGGGAGAAGGGTCGTGTGTTGGGGGATTTCACGGATCGGGTCCAGCCTAGGAGACTGATTTCTCTGGTTTGCCATGTTGTTGTTGTTGTTGTATTATCATCTTGATGATGATGGAAAAGGCAGGTTTAGCATGTAGTAATAAAGTAGTATAAATCATCATGAGGAAGCGAGTTATGTGCTGTGATTGATTGATCCTTACCTTGGGGATTTTTTTCGAGGAATTTATTTTCTGGATTCCACGCTCCTGGATTTTTTTCACTGCGTGGACTTGAAGATCCGGATTCCAAATTATCATCTCTCTTGTGTATAAATCGCGTAGCGCTGGCACTGGTACTGGTCGTTTCTCGATTTACGAAAGTCCCTCCCACGAGCAAAGAGATGACGACTAAAGGTTCGATGAAAGCGCCCGCGCCGCCCATTCTAAGATTCCTCAAGCCGTTACGTAGGGTTGGTTCTGTAGTTCTAGTAGAGGAAGTGCTCACGAGAGCAACAGAGCAGTGGAAATGGAAGTTCTGACAAGGAGGAGACAGAACAGTAAAAAGATCACGCGATCTTATTACCTGCGTGCTCACTCACAAAGCTTCTCACTCCTCCTGCTTATTATACAACCTCATGCATGCCCTCTTCATCATAGTTCATATGTACATGAGGTAGTTATCCGTTCCGCGCAGAGCCGGGGACAACATTATTAACAACAGTACATCATCTTCGGCGATGACACAGCGTGTGTGGCGTCGGCATGCTTTCTGTTGATAGGTGAAGTCACTGGAGCAGTGGAGGCTCTCATCAGCGCTAGGCGGTGACGGAGTTGCGAGGAAGCCGAGAAGCCGACGACCGCATTTACACTTCACGTAGACGCCGATCAATTGCTATCGATAGATCGACGTCCAGCTATGGTAATATATGATGGTATCTAGGGCTGGACTGGGCTAGCAATACCCCAAACAATACTGCATGTTTGTTGCTTGTCATCACCAAGACTTCCACGTCGTTGGAAGGGATAAGAAATGCAACGCAAAATGCCAGGAATTTTTCTTTCATACCGAGCGAGTATTTTCCAAGCCAACTCAGCGCACCTTCGGCTCCGGGCAGAAGGCAATAAGCACTGGTCGCAAGAAAAACGATGACTACAGGAGAGAGATTTTTCGCAACATGTCCGCTAAACAGCAACCACTCACTCCCGTGCAAGAGACTTGTCCAAACACACACACCCACACACAAACTACATAGCAAAAGCAAAGCACAGATCCACAATGATTTGCCTTCCCTTTGAAAACCCCCATCCCCCATCATCCGTCCTCGCCCTCGGGGTATATCCTTCAAGGCCCGTCTTTCCATCCTCGATAGATTCCATCTTCTCCAAGCCATAGAGGCCATTCTTCCTCTCATCAGACCAGCCCCCAAGATCCATTCGTGTCCGCGCTCGCACTGCGGCAGTATAAACGCCGTTTTGACTAAAAATTAAGAGAGATTCGTAAAATCCGCGACTCGCCCAGGGCGTTTTCGTTTCCCCTGCTACCCGCACACACATAGATAGGGACAAAATCAACACGCCAGATCCCGAAAAAAAAAGTTCGCCAGGCTTTGCAAGCAAAAGCATCCACATGAAATTATGGGTATATTACGAATGGAGGTTCTTCCAACGCCGAGATGAACTAGTGGCCGTGGTAGTGTGGCCTGTCTGAGGCGCGTCATAATCGTCGACATCTGTCTTCAAAGCATACTGCAGCTTAATTTCTTCATTGCTGCTGTCCAAGCGAGTGAGGATCGACGAAGAACATTGGTTGGTTCTGCATGTCGAATCCCTGTCCAGGGCTTTGATGGAACATCTGCTGCTCATCCGAGACGTGTTGCATCTGCCCGGGGCTAGAGTACATCTTGGATTCTTGATAGAGCATGCCATTCTCGGCAGCCGGGCTGTTGAACATCGCTGTCTGATCCTGGGACGGCGTCGAGAAGGAGACGCCGCTATCTTGGTGCATCTGGCCAGGCTGTTGGGACGGCGAGTGGTAGTTCGAGCCAGTCGGGTCGTGCTGAGGGCTTTGATAGTTCATCTGCGATTGCCCGTTCATGTTAAGGTTGCCATCCGGACCACTTGCCGGCGGCGATTGGAAGTTGAACATGCCTTCCGGCATTGGTGACTGGAAGCTGTCGTCCGCGATCGGGCTTCGGAAAGGCAGCGCGATCTGCTTGTTAAATGACTCCGACAGGTAAAGTGCTTCGTCACTGAGCTGAGAGTGCTCACCCGGAGTGCCAAAGATATCTGCACTCTGGCTGCGACCCATGCCATTCAGCGGCGGCGAGTGATCCGCAATGATCGGGTCGCCGTGACTGGTGACAGCAGACAAAGGTGTCGTGCTGGTACCCAGCATTGAAGCGGGATCGACAGCCAGGAAACCGTTGTTGAACTGTGGGTTGAAGTGAGTCGACTGCATGCCTTCAGCGGCCGGCGCAGATGTGAAGAATCCTGGCGTGCCATATTCGCTTGGAGAATTAGCCGTGGTCGCGGACAAGGAGCCATTGAATTGAAGACCCATGTTGTAGCCCGAGGAGGTATCGATGCTCAAGTGAGGACCAGCAGCGCCGTTAGCAAACCCTTGTGGCACTTGGTGTTGTGGGACCGGTGCAAAGATGTTTGGATCCTGCATGGGTACGTGTGGCGGCTGGTTCTCTTCCTGGATCAAGAAGGATGGCATTGGTGCTTGCTGCCTGAGCATGTTCAGATCGATCGCCACAGGCACAGAGCGGCTTCGTTGACGCTTGTGGCCGCGGGGACCTGGTGGGCCCATCAGAGCAGCATTTGGATCCTGCGGTGGGAAGAGGTGCATGCCACTGTGTGGGTGCATCATGTGGTTTGGCTGACTCGCAGGTCGGTGACCGATGGGAGAAACAGGCGCGGAGACGGCGAAGGCAGTCGGGTCAAAGAAGTTGTTGTGTCGATTCTGATAAGCCTCGAGCGACACGAGCTTCGCAAGCTGACCGCTGAGGACCTTGGATGGCCCGCCGAGGTGGTGAACCATGACTTGGCTGGCTTGTTGGTCTTCGGTAAAGTCGCCGCATTCGTAGAAGCCGCCGCTGCCGGAACTGTCCATGTAGAACTTGGGTGGGCGAGTCAATTCAATGACCAGACCTCCAGATCGCTGAGATGCGCCCTCTGCAGCTGCGAGAACATCTCCCTGCTCAAGGGTAATATTCTTGATCCACGCAAAAGGGTACTCAATCTTGTATCCGGCGGAGTCGTTATTAATGTAGTAGGTCACGCACGCTTTGTCGGGTGAATAAAAGATAACCAGATCCATGGTGCTTTGGCCAACGCGTCGCCAAGTGCCAATAGAGAGAGATCGACAGTGGAAGTGCTGGATGACAACCTTGGCGGAAGATGCATCGGTATTCAGGCAGAGGGAGCCATTGCCATAGGGAGTGTAGCCAGGTCCAACTCTTCCCAGCATTGTGCCTGGGAGTCCCTTTCCAGGGCCATAGGCTTGCATAGCCAGATACTGACGCATCGACTCAGGTATGCTATCGCAGTCTTCGCCGCTCTCGATACTTCGCTTCGCAATGTTCTTTATCTTGGCTCGCCTGGGGTCAAGTCAGCATCAATGAATATTTGGGATGAACACCTCATTGGTCCTACCTATTCTGAAACCAGATCTGCACCGATCGCTCGGTCATATTGATCTCGGATGCTATGCGCTCTCGCACAAGCGCGGTCGGTGTTGGGTTCTTATTGAACTCGACCTCCAATGTCATGAGCTGGTCCTGGGTGGCTCTTTGGCGCTTCTGGTTCTTTTGTTGTTGGGTGAGGGTGCTTTTCCGCGGTGGCCTGCGCGAGGCATTGTTGGAAGCATTGGCATTGGCACTCGATGCATTGCTGTTGGTGGTGCTTGCGTTGTGGGAAGGTGAAGACTGCGGAGGCGTCATTTTGAGGTTCGCGTCTTGCTGGTGTGGTTGGGCGAGTTGTTGCGGCTGCATCACGTCGGCCATTTGGCCGGCTTTTTCACTGCCTGGTGGTATGATACAATAATGAGATGTGGTTGATTGGTGGCACTGCCGCCGAGATTCGCGTTCGGTCGGTGTCGAGAGCAAGGCGGATTGGCGAAAGGCGGAGTCCTAGTCCGATAGTTGGAAGCGGGCTAGGGCGTGGATTGAAAGGGATGAAAAGTGTGCTGGTGTTGTACAGACAGATCCGACGACCAGGCGGACGTGTACGTGTGAATGGAGAGGCCACTGGCTCTTGCGTTGCGGTGCGGCGTTCGGTCGATGCAGCGGGAGTCGCTCGTCGGTCGATTGGCGATTAATCGGGATCGTATCCAGCGTCGCAGGGAAGCAAGCAATAAAGAAAGTAAGGAGTGTCGCCGTCGGAGCCGGAAAGAGTGTACGGCTGCCGAAGAGGCTTGAAAGAAGGGCGTCAAAGAAGGGACGAATACAGCATCAAAAGAATGACGATGGCTGTATTCTGCAGCGAGAATAGGCAGGCAGGCAGGCAGGCGGGCGGGCAGGCGATAGACGACTAGTAAGGACGATAACGAGACGAGCAAGTCAACGTCGGTGTGGAGTGACGATGGGTGAAATTAGATGATTGACGACAGGAGACGACACGAGACAGCGGGCAGAGGGCAGTGTGAGCACAGGACAGGCTCAGGACACGCTCGCGCTGAGAAGGGAAGGACGGGAGTGCGCCTGCTGGCACTGGCACTACTGGCAGCAGGTGGCAGCAGCGCGAGAGGAGTCGGCCGGCCGCGGCGCACGGCCTCGCGGCAGGCACAGGCACAGGCACAGGCACAGGCACAGGCACAGGGGCAAGGGCGAGCAGGCAGGCCAAGGCAGGAGCCCCAAACCGGCCTAGCGCGGGATCACCGCGACCATGCAACCCTGCGCACCACCGCTCCGATCTGTGATTGGGTTGGCCTCGCCCGTCGCCGACCATCCATGCTCGCTTCGAAGCACTGCATGCTGGCTCTGCCTCTGCTGGTATCGAGTATCGGCGTGGTGCTGGCTCCACCTCCTGAAGTCAGCATCAAGAGCCGGACACCAGCACCAGCAAGCAAGCAACACACCACCCCCACCCGCGATGCTCCGGCGCAGAGTTATAGCCCGCGCCTGGTCGACGAGGAAGCCCTCGCCTGTGATGAGCAGTATTGCCATCGTTGATTCATCCGTTCGATCGCGTCAGAAGCACGATAACACAGTACATATCTGCCTCAAGCCGCCCGGCAGCGCCATGCGATCTGCGGCCTCCGCATCCCTTATAGAGTTGAGCCTCCTCAGCGCTAGCTGGCAGGCCTAGCACGTCTCGTCTTCCAAAGTCTCAGTATGGAAGTCCGGGCGGGGGCGCCTGAGCCTGAGCCTGTCAGGGTGAAGCAGTCTTGGCCTTTTCACGGAAACACACATACATACAGCACCACATACCCTACCTCCTACCGCCTTGCAACGCCGCTGTGTTGCCGATGCACGCGACCTGCTCCAATGCTTGCGTGACGTGAACAATGCGACAAGCGAGCGTAGCACACGCCTTCCAACGCAACTTCCAACATCGTCTTGCACTCACGGCTGTATATAGCCTTCCAAGGTTGCGACAGATGTGAGAAAAGGGCCTCCATCCGGGAAGCATATCCGCCGTACAGCGTCTACTGTACCGCGGTGCCCGCTTTTTGCCGTCCCGCTCATATGTGAGACAAGCGCCTGGAGTGCACCAACACTTCTCTCTCACCCGTCACGAAAACAGTACCTGGTATGTGCACTACTTATCCGCACCCGCACCAACCTGAAGAAGCCAGCGAAAATCACCGCAGGCCTCCTCATCCTCCATCAGCAACATTGATGAGCATCACGAAAAGACGCGTCGACAAGATCTCTACGCGCCCATTCGATGACAAGTAACCTTACCTCAGCCCATCCAGTCCTTCCCTTCCCTTCGTCCATGTGCCACCTTCGAATTCTTGTTGGTCAGCTCGATCGCGCGAGAAGATCGACGGGAACGGGTACCTGACAGAAGCTCAGGTACGCGCCAGCGGCCAGCCGCCAAAAGCTTTCCCTCCTGAAACCAAACCGGGCCAAAAAAAACCCCCCCATGCCATCACGTGCAAGAGGTCGGCGCGCGCGCTTCATGCACGACATCCTGTCCTGTCCTCGATTATTGCAAAGTCTGATAAATTCCTATATGTACACTTGTTGATGAACTTCTAACATGGAAAGTCGGAAGATAGGTACAGTAGACGCAAACGTGCGCGCACGCACTGACGAAGCGAAGGAACGAAACGAAACGAACGACATCATTCACGTCATCGTCGATCCCGCCCGTTGAGACAACCCGCACGTGTCGCAGCTCTTCCTTCTCCCACCTTTGACTTTCTGCTTCCTCGTCGGTTAGCTATATATCAGCAACTGCAGGGGTGGCACGGGGCAGCCGGAGTTGCTAGCAACGCCAGCCCTACCAAGCCCCGCTAAACCTTATACAGATCGTAGTCTTGGCACACCTACATCCTCCGCTTATCCTAAATTTTCTATATAACCTCTTCTATTAACCCCTATATTCTATAATAGACCTATCTACGCCTAACGACGTCGCTACCCTTTAGCAGCTTCGATAACGAGTGTTTAACCTTATAGAAGACATTAAAACAGATACTAATAGATAGAGTTTAATCTAGAAACTATATAGCAATTAATACACCTAGAAATCTACTAAGAAGCTATCTATAATAATACCCTATATAAAGATAGGGCTATACTATAAGAAGTCCTACTTCTATTATATAGAAAAGTAGCGCCTTAATAAGCTAAACAAGGAAGCAGTAGATATTAAGGACAGGCGTATATTTAAGCCGCTTAAGAAGGAGTATAGAATAGGCTTTGTTACTAAGGTTAAATACCGTAATAATAAGGCTACTAGAAGAGTTAGTATTCGTCGCTATACTGCTATAACTAAATATATATATACGCTCGACTATCTTAATAGCCGGAAGGTTTGCTAATATATTAAAGATAAGGTTAAAAAGCAAATCGATTACTCGCTATAAGCTAGAAGAACCTTCGACGCCTTATAGAGGCAATATAGTAACAATCTCGGTATCTCTTATCTCGATATTAGTGCTATATACAATGCCGCTAAACAATCGCCTTATTATAACTATAATAAGCGCTTTGTAACTTAAGAAGAGAGAGGCAATACGGACCTTTAATTATAGGCTATTATACGGACTACAAAGGAGCACAACCTATACTTTAAATAGTTTAGTATTAATACTAAAGATAGCATTAGGAAAGGCTTTATATAGGCAATAGAAGAAGGTATTTAGTTGTTAATAAAGTACGGCAAATTAATACTACTAGACGATATATACGAAGTTAATTAACTAGATTAGAAGCTATTTAACGTCCTTATAAGCGACGACAACCTTAAATAGCGGCCTATAGTACACGCACTACTAGAAAGCAAATATAGTGTTATCTACGCGTAAGTACTTAGCTATATAGCTTCTTAGGGTCGTTGTAGTAAGCCTAGCGGCTAGCAGTTACAATAGTCTATTCTTAATAACTCGGTATCTAAATAATAGGCTATTCGAGATATATTTCTATAGGTTTATACCTACCTATGCTAACGACACTCGTTATAGACTATCCGCCGCAAATTTCCGCTTAAGAGTGCTTATAAGAAGGTCTAGAAGAAGCTCGTATAGGTTATGCTATACGTAGAGTCTAAGGAAGAGGTAGAGGTTAGAATATAGGCTGCTTTTAATACCCTTCCTAGCGGCAAGAACGACGAGAAGTATAGCTATATAGAACGAGAATAGTTAGTCGAGCACGCTTAGATATAGACTACCTGCTAGCGGAGGAACAATCTACTGCTTATATATATAAGTACTATATAATAGTACCTTCCGTCCTCTTAGAGCGGGTATTTGCTAACTGCTATTACTTAGGTACGTACAACGTCGCTAGTTAAGGGTTACTACTCCGATTTCAAGAGCGATATTAGCACTATTAAAGGCAACTTCTTACTCTCCGGTACCCTTATATACTCGCTAAAGGTAGACAGGAAGTAGTATAACAATGCTAATAAGGCTTCTACGAAGAACAATATACTTTACCTATTTAGTCGACTATAAGGCGATTACGAGCGGTTTAACGAGCTTCTATATTGCCTTTAAAGCCTTATTACTAAGCAGTATCGACTCGCTTAGAAGCGCGCTAATAGCGGCCTTCTAAATTAGTTACGATATTAACTATAGATCGATAACTACATCCCTAATATATACTAGTGTTACTTCTAGAAGCAGTATTACTAACCGTATCGCTATATCTAGTACGATTAAGAGATTAAAGGTAGTAGAATAACTACTTAATAGGTAGATTGCTATATAGACCGTTTCTTCGACCCTAAAGGCTTTAATAGCGATATTAACTTAACTAAGACACACTTAGAATAGCTTATTAACGAGAATCTACTAGAAGAAGATAAGGAAGGTAAGGTAGAGACTCTTCGTAGACCCCGTAGTAGTTCGGTTTCCGAACTACTAAACGTATATAGTTTGGTTTCTTAGCGGCGAACTAGCTCTCTAGTTCCGGTTTAGTTTTTTCGAACTATATAGATTCCTAGTTTAAACTAGAGACTGTATTAGTTTTACTATAAGGACACTCTTATTCGACTGCCGGCTACGATTGCCGGCTATAATAGTAACTCTATTACATTTACTACGCTCTTTTGCCGTTACTAGGGCGTAGTTGCCGTTACTAGGCCGTAGTTTTGCTATAAGGATACTCTTATTCGACTGCCGGCTACGATTGCCGGCTATAATAGTTACTAGGTTGTATTTACTACGCTTTATTACCGTTACTAGGGCGTGGTTGCTATTACTAGGGCGTAGTTGCCGTTACTAGGGCGTAGTTGCTATTGCCGGGGCGTAGTT